AGACTATGTTGGAAAAAATATAGTTTCCTTTCCGTGTATTTATACATATATATACATATATATATACATACATACATACATACATACACACATACATACATACACACCCACACATACATTGCTCACCCCTCTACAAAATGCGTTTAAAAAGTGTCTTTTTTTTTAACCTTCTTTGCCGTGTTTGATACCACAGTGTGTTCTAAGCGAATGTTCGGACCAGAAGTGCCGATTGCAATTTGAGCACCGGAACAAGACCAGCCGACGATTAGTAATCAAATGCTCGAAGTAATGCTGGCCTAGTAATTGGGAATTCATGAAATTTTTGCCGCATCCGCGCCAATGACACCGGTGTTTATGCGGCCGACTGTGGCTCTCAAGATGATCTCGGAAATTTACAAACGAACTTTCGGAGTCCACGTGCCCAACAAAACCACACTGGCATTTAGCCATATCAAACTGTCCCATCATTTCCGGCTTAAACCCGTGCAATTCCGTACTTGGTCCTGCAGCCGAAACGCTATACTTTTCCGAAATAGCAGGCATATCGGGCAAGTTCGTACGAAGCAGTTCAGCTTTAATAAGTTCCTGTTCAGTTCGGAACATTTCGTTTCCTAATTTTTGGTTTGTGAATTGAATTTCGGGGGGAACAGATTTGTAAATCAGGCCCATAGTGTAAGATGTCGAAGGATGAGAATAATCGGAAATTGCTTTTCTTTCTGCCTGAGCACTTGTTTCATCGATGGGTTTTGGATGCATTAGTTCGACGTCTTTTTCAATAATCGTTTCTGGACGAGTCCTGTAAGTTTCAGTTGCCGGTACTTGGCTTCTTTGCTGAATAATAAAGGGAATGGATTGCCAGGCCGTGAAAACATCCCTGCTAATGGAAATCACTGGGTCAGAAGAATCTTGGTCAAGTCCTCTTGATGCCTCAGAGCGTGGAACATCAGCGATATGAATATTACTGCACGCCAGTTCTTGCTGATTTACTGCTGGTACTTCGAAATCTACTGTATTCGTAAGAAATTCAGGAGTGTCATGATAAGGAACAACTGGTAAAATGCTCTGGAGCCAAGCAGCTTCCTGCCCGTCTTCAAGATAATGCGTCGAAATGGTTTTATTCTGGGCGATTGTCAGGAGAAATATTTCCAAGAGAGAAAGAATTAATACATAGATCCAGAATGGTAAGGCCGGCATCGGGAGCGATTTGTGCTTGGAGTGGCAGTTTGTCGAGAAACTTTTGATGTGTTTGGGATGCGCATAGTAATGTTATAAGCTGCTTTGAATCCTTTCATATTCTATGTTATTTGTCACGTGAAATAAACCCGCTATGAGTTTAAAGAGCAAGCACAGCCTAATTCAAAAGACACAGTGCAGCGAAAAATGAAAAGTTGATCAATTTATCAAGACTTTATTATAATGCTAGTTTCATTCAGTTGGTCATTAGCTTTATCTTTTGCTTCTCATGGTCCTTCATGTTTGTTCAGAAGCAAATTAATAATTCCTCTTGTCTTCGTCCGTGTTCTTTTTATGCGTTTTTGCTTATATGCAAATGCAGCCCAAAGTGGAATGCACCAGATGAGCGCGTGTTATCATGCGTTTTTGCACCGAACTTGAAGTACTCAGGTTATTAACTGCATGAATGGTTGTTGCATTACACCTACTTTTTGCGATCACTTGCATAAATCACCATAAATTGCATAAAGTAGATGTACAATTTCCATATAACGACCGTTCTTTAAAAGTAACCTAGTTGCTCAGTCAGATATTTAGCCAAAATTTTAAGCGCTTATACGTAAGAACCACGCGTACCTCAAGGCAGAATTTAAAATACTTAAGTTGTACTTTGAGAGGGAATATCCCCCCTAAAGTTTCAACCTTCTGCCTTTTTCAGTTGTCGAGTTAGTAATTTTCCGCAGAAATTTTTTTAAGTCCTTACATAATTACCATGCATAGA